TGATATTTTTGTGGAACCGTGTTCCGTAATAAGAAAACTTTCAGGAAACCGATAGAAACGGAACATAAAACCATAACCAAGGTAAGCACCGGAATACACCCTTAGTTACGTAATCGAGCCACCCGTCCATCCACTCACGTAACGTCGCTTAACTTGGTGATCTATCGGGAATCTCCATTATAATCTTAACCAAGCCTGTATACGACCTTTGCATATAATAAAATAGCATATTTTTTGTTTTTCTTTTAAACCCATTAACCTTGGACAGTTTTAACAAAACATAAATATATTTTATTTTATACTCTATTTTTTCTCGGTAAAAAAAAGGGTGACTTAATTTAATTTTCATTCGCACTCCACCCCAACACGATAGAGTTTCTAGGACCCGCGCTTTTACCTCGGAAAAAAAAAACCTTCCCTAAGGAAATAATAACCTAGTTGGGAAGGGCATCGCGTTCGGACGCACCCTTCTAGCCTTTGAAAGGGTCGTTCGCGCCCTGTCCGGTCTAGTCACTCTAATTAGGGGTAAAAATAGAGGAAGGTTTTGTTTTCTAACGAGTACGAAGATAACTTTTCTTTTTTGTGCTTTTTTTTGCTTTTTTCGTGTCTGTAGGTAAAAGGTATACCTAGTCTGGGACATGATTAAAGTTTAGAACCGCCTCATTTATTTGTTTATTTAATGTGTTATATTTTAATTTAAATAAAAGCTTTTTTATTTTTGTTTTCAAATTAGATTATCTAATTTTGAATGAAAATATTTTTTAGCTAAGCTTAATTAATATACAGGGTAGTCCGAACTGTATTCCGGAAACTTCAACAGCATATTCTGCAGATCAAAATAAGTAAAAAAGTTCTTATAAATGTATGTCCTAAAATGCTTAGTTTTTAGAGATATATGTAAGGTGCAGAAGTTGCTGTTGTTTTTTCGAAATCATTTCTGAAGTAACGTCAATATTTGGATGAAAATCGGTGTCTGGGGGTTTTTTAACATGAAAAATTTGATTTTGATGTCAATATGGCTCCTATTTGTAGGGGGCGCCACCTACATATGTTTTAACTGTTTTGAAGCGTAATAACTTTTCGGCCGTACCTGTATACTGAGTGAAAAAATATACATTTTCGTTACATTTTACGTAAAAAATGTCTCTTGGTAAAAATCGCTACTAGCAACCGTTCTCAAGATATTTAAAATGTTACACGTTGAGTAGATAGTTATTTGACTGAAATAATAAATTCGGAAAATTTTTATTTTTTAAACGGTTTTATTTAGCTCGACCCGTACGGTATTTACTTATTTGTTTGGGTCAAAATTAGAAATTGAAATTTAAGTACCTTCCTGTTGTCAGATTGATCTGAAATTTGGTACACACCTTTAGTTCCGATGACAATACAATATAGTAATATCAATAACATTGTAAATCTAAGATGACCGCCGGTACAAAATGGCGGATTTTATATTTTTCCACAACCCCCTCTACACTAATAGAATACTGTGATTGTGTGACGTTAGAAGGACAGATAAAAAAAAATAGGTGATTAGATGTATCTACGTAGAGAGAGAGAGAGAGTTAGCGGTAGCTTTACCACCCAAGTTAAGGCAATAGGTTAAAACGTGCTGAGGACTGTATGGCATTAGGGTGGCTAAAAATGTAATGTCGCAAGCGTTTTCCCCTCAAGATTGGGCGCCTCTTGTTGTATATTATAGCCTTGCCCCTCTACTGAACCTCTGGGGGGGGTCGACCGTTAAAATGTCCATTACTCGTGGGAACTTCAAAACCCAAGTGATGAGTTTGCAACAGACAAAGCGTTAAGGGTATACCCCACTAATCAGCAGGTAAACAATCACAAAGCTGCTGTTTTAAATCTATTCCGGAATAAAGGATCTCGAATTTATACCATTAAAGCACAGGACCAACTAATTGACGCCACACGAAATACAGATAATTTAAATTTAGCAAATATAATACCAACAGATATAAATAAAACTGGAGGCTTACCATCAGTACTTGAAATATTTGTAGGAGTAAAAGTAATGTTGCGGTCCAACATTGACGTTACAAAAGGATTGGTAAATGGTGCTATAGGCCACATTACAGAAATTGTTTGGCCTCAGTTCCGTCGAACCCAAATGTACGAAACATATGTACCATCAGTTTGGATTGACTTTGGCAGAGACGGCATACACGTTATAAGCGAAAGCCATACTGTTTCCAGCAAAATTCAATTATGGTACGGCTGAAAGAAGGATGTTACCCTTAATTTTGTCATGGGCATCCACCGTCCATAAAATGCAGGGCAGCACAGTCGACCATGCAGTAGTGTATTTGGGCTCAAAATTGTTTGAGGAAGGGCAAGCATACGTGGCTCTAAGTCGAGTCAAGTCTCTGGAAGGGCTATGTATTGAGGAATTAGATTGTAATAAATTATCAGGTAAAAAACCATGTAATAATGATGCACTAAATGAATTAAATAGAATGAGGAATATTCGGTAGGCATTTCCGTTAAATACTAAAAACTAGAAAATAGAAAATCGGTAAAAAACTTTTAAGTTAAACGGTTTTATCTTATGTGCACTGAAAACTAGAAAATAATAATAATTAGGTATTTTGAACTTCTAGTTCAGAAATATTTTAGTACTAGGCAGAATAGCTTTTAGGCATATTAGACTAAAATAAAAACGTGGGGCCCATTAACTATTGCTGTAATACTTTCTTCTATACTAAGTGTGGATTGCATCGACTTACTATAATCGTAACTGGAGATTTTGAGAATCAATAACCAGCCGTGGCGGCTTCACCAGCGAATGCCGAGCTCATGATCTACCAAAGTATAAAGATATGCTTTGCCATAGGTAGGATTTCAGAGGGGCCCCACGTTTTTATTTTAGTCTAATATGTCTAAAAGCTATTCTGCCTAGTACTAAAATATTTCTGAACTAGAAGTTCAAAATACCTAATTGTTATTATTATTTTCTAGTTTTCAATGCACATAAGATAAAACCGTTTAACTTAAAAGATTTTTTACCGATTTTTTATTTAAATTAATCATAAATTTTTCTGCGAAAAAATGATGATAAAACAGTTTCTGTTGAACTTTTGCTACAAAAACATTTCAAATTTATGATTTTGGTCTAATAACTAATTAGTTAACATGTTTAATTTGTGTCAATAATGATAGGTAGGTATTGATAAGTTCGATTCGAAATATCTCGAAAACCATTACTCGTAGCGATTTTTGACAAGAAGATTTTTTTTCTCGGAGACGTTTTATATGTAAAAAACACCGTAAATTTATATTTTTTTACTCACTAGTTTAATACAGGTACGGAAGAAAAGTTATTGCTCTTCAAACCAGTTAAAAAATATGTAAGTGGCGCCCTCTACAGGTAGGAATCATTTTGACATCAAAATCAAATTTCTCAAGTCAAAAAACTCCCAGACACCAATTTTCATCCAAATATTGACGTATCTTCAGAAATTATTTGCAAAAATCGAAATAAAAATGAAACTTCTACACCTTGTATCTCCGAAACCAAGCATTTTAGGACATACATTTATAAGAACTTTTTAAATAAAAAGTTTTTAACTAAGAATAGCACTTGTTACATGGCATAAAATACGCAAATATGTATAAAACTGGACCTCAAATTTCAATGTCAGTGTTTCAAGAATAAGACAATAAGTTGGCTGGCTGATACTGAATAGGCTGTGATTCAATTCCCTTCCCACCTCGCCAATTGTTAACCAAGTCTACCATACACAGGATTTGACAACCCTGTATTTGTTTGTGTTTCTATCAACTGGTTAGAATATTTACTCAACTAGTAACAGTAACTTTTATCTTTTTGTTTACGTTGAGTTAAACAAAAACAAAATAAAAGATTTACTCATGTAAGTGTATTTTTTTCTGGGAAGTAATCATTCTTTCACCATAATTCCTATAATAGATACTTTGATAAATATACGCTCAATATATACCCATACATAGCTTATAAACAATGACACAACAGTGTTTTTGTTACACTATATCATAATAAATATTTATACACATACAAACCTTATTATATACTTTATAATATACACGAATACAGATTGCTAGAAGAATTACACTTTACAATGAAAACTTGAAACTGAAGCAATTCCTGGCGCATTCGCCAATAAAATGAAATAAAATTATATCTATTGTTAAACCAGCACACTGAATGTAATAAATTTTAAAATTCTTAAAACCATTTTTTTGAGTATTTTTTCTCTAAAAAAAATCGCTGAATTATTTCTGACAGTGTACCCTTAAAACGTGATTTTTTTGCTGGATAAACATGTCCCTGATCTGGTAAGAAATTTATCGTATGAAGAGAAATGATATGTTTACCGCTAGATGATATGTTTAGCAGCAATTTTACAGCAAGCAGTGATTTTTACGTCAAAACAGGCGTTTTCTAAAATGTCTATTTTAACTGTTATATTCCAAAATTTTAGTAAAATAAACAGACAGAATATACTGCACTTTATTTTACTGTATTATATTATATACTTACCATATAATATTTTTTGACATTTGTGATTTTATATTTCCTGCAATATTAAAATATACTAAACCACCATGTTTTTTTTCTATAGCAGTTTGTTTTTAAACGATAGTGAAGTTCAGAACAGCATGGTTGTAAATCTTTGGAAATGAGACTGAGTTTTTTTGTCGTGATCTTTTCCCCCATGAATTCCAAGATGAGTACGGCACTATTTTTTACATAACCTCTTCAAATTTATCTAATTTTGTCATTGCCGAGAGCATCCGAGGTCAGTTAACGAAAAAAATATAATTAGAAACTTCAATTTTTAGTTATATCATTACAAAACTAATATTTAACTGCTACCTAGAGCTCAGTAAAAAATGCAGTTGTTTCCAAAAACGAATCAATTTTGTAAAGTAAAAATACAGTTTAAAAAATCGAATATATTTGTAATATTTTAATCAAATATATAATTTGAATTATCACTAACCTGGTTTTTCCTTAATCAAATAGTACACCTCCTGAGCTACAGCATCTTCTGACAAGACGTCCCAAATACCATCGCATGCCAAAACAAGAAAATCTTCACCTCCGTCCAATGGAATCTCTCGGACATCCGGTATCGCTATGACGTGAGGCTTATAATCAGCGTCGCCTAGACAACAAAAATAACAGTAACTACTTCTACTGTGCATCTAATAATTTAGTACCTAACCTAAACTACAGTTAGAAGAGCCTAGAGATTACAAACAAAAATAAGACTGGATGCAAACCAACTTAACCAGAATTTAAAAATCAGAAACATTAATGCTTAACTAATTACTATTTTTTCCCTAATTCTGTATTTCGGATTCTGTTTGTTCGCACCTCAGATATGCCCTTCCATTGTGGGGTACGTGTTGTGCGACTCAATTTGACCGCATTTTCAAGCTCCAGAAGAGAGCTGTTCGATATTCACTGGGACTAAACAGCAGAACTCATTGCCAGGACTTTTAAAAAATTAAAAATATTACTCATCCTTCCTTATTTATATTTGAATCCGTTTGCCTAATACGTAAGCATGTATCAGCTTCTCAAGAAAGGCCATCTCACACTTATCCACTCAGGAACGCGGAGCAAGATCTTTATCTACCTACCCCACGCTCAGTGTTAGTTAAAAGTTCAATATTATACAACTCTAAAAAAATGCACAATCACCTGCCATTTAAAATCAAATCCATAACATCATTTTCTTCATTTCGCAAAGCATTGAAATCCTATTTACTAGAGAAGGCTTTCTACGCCGTAAATGACTTATATTTTGATAATCGAATTTGATCTATTACTATATTTACTATAAACTTACTAAATATTTTTGAATCTTATTTTTATTTTTTTATTCTTTGACATTGTAAACATTTATAATAAATGTATATTTTAAACAATAAGACTGACAATGTAATTTTGTATACTTGTTTTGTATTCTCTTTTGTTTGTTTACTTTACCTTTGTGTAAATTTTTAATTTTTAACCTCTGTTAAAATTTGTTGACAATAAAAGCATTTATTTATATACACTCATATTTTTCATAAATGTTAATAAACTTCACAGAACTTTCTTTTAACCATTTACTAATAAAATACTGAGCCACACTGTATACATTTAATGGATTTAAAAGCGGCTGTTTAAGATACAAGAGGATTATCAATAGATTCGTTGAGATATCATTTATTTAATGCACTATACCATGGAGAAAGTTAAAGAGTAAATTAAACTACATTAACAAAAGTTCAATTAAACATTTCGAATATAAAAATAGACTTACCGATTGCTCTAGAAACGGCGAGTTGTCCGTTAACTCTCCACGTACCCCACAACATCATAACACAGCCACCAGCTTCGTCAATTCTTATCCTTTCATCCTACAAAAGAAAGACAAACAAACATTAAATATGCGTAACACACTTTTTGCTAAAGTCTGAGTTTTTTTCACTCAATTTTTTTCACGTTTGTTCAACAGCTAAACCCCGCTCGAAAAAATTAAATAAAAAGAGTTTGGGGAGTTTAGGTCAAGTTAAATCGCAAGGAAAGAACATTAGATAAAAAGTTCTTGTACAGAAGTAAAAAAGCATCATACCTCTCTGTTGTTAATTTTACCTAACAAAACCATAAACGTCATAAAATTTCAATAAATAAAAACAAAATGTAATCAAATGTCACTTGAAAACAAGAAGCAGGTGACGCTTTTGATTTTTTACCAATTAATAATATTTAGGCACTTTTTTCTACTTACACATATCATAGAAGATAAAAACATACCATGGATTATTAGTTTTTGTTTTGACTACATGTCTCTGCTGTTAACAAGGAAAAAAAAACAGAAAAAAAACTGTACACAACTGATTTACAATATTTTTTTAACCCGTCTTGTCGCACTCTTAATAACAACTTTGACAATTGTGGCCATGACAACGGAAAAAATTGAAAAGCACAGCCACCTAATCTAATTCTACTGATACCAATGCCTGAAAATTATTGATGGCCAATGCTTTTCTTATGGAGCTGGGCGATATTTAGAATAAACCCCATAAAAATGCATTGTACCGTATGATCGAAAAAAAACGGCGTTCAGTTGGCTTGGAAATGAACATATTATAAAGAATGATTTTTTTTAAACGAATAATAAAATGAAATACCTACCGTATTATTTTGTAATAAAAATACCTTAAAAACCTTCTAAATTTTTATAGTATCATAAGTATGATCATATCTTATTGTAAGTATTATGATAACATTATTTCCGTCCAACAATTTAATAAAATATGATCGAAAAAAAAACAGCGTCAGGGATAGCTCGGAAATGAAGATGGCTGTCATCTATACTAATATATAAAATCCTTAAATGACTGACTCACTGATTAATCACGATCCTGCTCAAACCACTCAACGTAAGAAGCTCAATTTTGGCATACAGGTTGATTTTAGAGTGTAGGTTCGATAAGAAGGGATTTTTCGAAATTCCAGTTCCAAGGGGGTGAAACCACCCCTCAAATATTACAATATTTTTTATTTAAAAAACCGTCAAGTTTCCGAAAAAACGCTTAAACACGTATATTTTATTTTGTTTTTTTACATATTTTAAAATTTTTTTAAAATGTATACAGGGTGTTTCGAAAAACTGGCCATTGATTAATCACGACCCTGCTTAAAGTGCTTGACGTAAAAAGCTGATTTTTGGAAAACGGATTGACTTTAGGGTGTAGAGGTTCGATAAGAAGGGATTTTTCGAAACTCGAATTCTAAGGGGGTGAAACCACCCCTCAAATATTAGAATATTTTTTATTTAAAAACCGGTGAGTTTTTTGGAAAAACTCTTGAACACGTATATTTTATTTTGTTGTTTTATATATTTTAAGATTTTTTAAAAATTTATACAGGGTGTTTCATAAAATATGACCATTGAGTAATCACGATTCTGCTTAAACTGCTTGACGTTTAAAGCTGGTTTTTGGCAAACGGATTGACTGTGGGGTGTAGATGTTCGATAAGAAGGGGTTTCTCGAATCTCAAATTCCAAGAGGGTGAAAACACCCCTCAAATATTACAATATTTGTTATTTAAAAAACGGTTAGTCTTTCGGGAAAACGCTTGCACAAGCATAACTTATTTTGTTTTTTTACATATTTTGAAATTTTTTAAAAAATCATACTGAGTGTTCCAAAAAGTTGGGTAATTGATTAATATGATTAACCATGATTCTGCTTAAACTGCTTGACGTAAAAAGTTTATTTTTGGCAAACGGATTTTTCGAAAGTCAAATTCCAACGAGATCAAACTACCCCTCAAATATTACTAAGTTATATAATAATATCGCCATATTGTTTTTGCTCATGCTGACATAAATGTGAGAAAATTTTATCCAGTTTGTATGTTAATGGAAATTCTTGCTTTGCTTTATCATCACCATTACAAATGATTAATTCGAGGCGAACGAAGTCGCAGATACACGCTAGTTTTATATGTAAAGTTATATGGGAAATGTCATTGATTGTCATTTTCAAGCCAACTTGACGCCGTTTCTTCTATCATACAATATTTTTTATTTAATGTTTTAACTAGGTATACCGTCAAGTTGGCTTGGAAATGACAATCAATGACATTCTCCATATAATTTTACATATAAAATAACAGAAAAAGATCTTCATTTCATAGCCATCGCTGACGCCGTTTTTTTTTCGATCATATTTTCCGTCCAACAATTTAATAGAATACGATCGAAAAAAAACGGCGCCAGCGATAGCTTGGAAATGAAGCTCGCTGTCATTTTATATGTAAAATTACATGGGAAATGTCATCGATAATCATTTCCAAAGCAACTTAACGCCGTTTTTTCGATCATCCGGTATTTTAATTGTTTTTTTTTAATTTAATCTATTTTACTAGTTATACCGTATGATCGAAAAAAAACGGCGCCCAATTGGCCTGGAAATGACAATCGATGACATTCCCCATATAATTTTACATATATGACAGCGATCTTCATTTCATAGCCATCGCTGATGCGTTTTTTTCGATCATATTGTATTATGTATTTATATCGTTTTACAAACATCTTGTCAAGGTGTATGTGGCGCCATCTGTCGGAGAAGCGAGAATCTAAACCGCAACGTTTATCGGTGGTTGAGGATTATCTGAGAACATTGTTGAGGCGCCATCTCTTAATCAAGTAGAAAAGGAAGCGAATCAGGCGGCGGAATTTACTAGTAGGACGCAGAAAGTACCGATAATTTTAGAAGGTTCCAGAAACAGTCGGTAGAGTATATAAAGGCATATAAGAGTTGGCCATATAAGTCAGTTGAGCCAGTTGGAAATTTAAAAATACACCGTTTTAAATTGTGAATCGCAACAATTTGGCGAAAGATTTTATAAACAGTTATTTGTGTGTTGTGATCAGTATAAATTGTGGTGTATAAAGTGAGAAAATAAATCTGTTAAGTATTTGCCTCGTTTATATATTCTTAAAGTTGTTCAACCGACTAGACAAAATGTGCTGCCAACTGGAGGACAAATCGTGAACCTTTCGGGGCGGAGTCAAAAATATCGATTATTTTCGTTATTTTCCTCAGAGTAAAGTAATAATATAGCCCCGGGTTTCTGCGAACTTTAATAATGATCAGCTGATTAAGAAATTTAAACGAAACTTTTATTTTATTGTAAATTGTGGATTATTTTTGCCTGGTATTTTAAGAATTCTAAACCGTATTAACAAAAAAATTATTATTTCGATATGTTGGTACATTATTTATAATTTATGATAATGCTAATTGCTGTTAATTAATATTTAAAAAAAAAGTTACATACCTATTTTAATTTGATTTAATGCAGGTTTATAAAAGAATCATTTCATTCTTAGATTATTTTATTCTAAATTGAGTGCTTTACGAATTTTACGATATTTTTTTTTGAAAACATAAAACTTTTGACATTTTTGATGCCAACTAATTGGCATGGTATTATTGGTATGGTTAGTTATGTTATGGTTTTATTGAATTAGCCAAGAAAGAAAAGAATTGGCTATAACTTGTAATTTTTCGAAAAAAACATATTATACTTATATCGCTGAAAAGCTTAAAGAATGGCGTTTTTTATTAAGTCATGGTCAACTAGGATTTCCATTTAAAAAAAACATAATGTTTGTGTCATATGTCAAAAATGACAGGCTTTAGAAAAAAAACAGAAAACACAAACTCATTAGGTATGTGATTATCTACAACTTTTATCTGAAACTTTTTGTCTAAAATACCATATGATCGAATAAAAACGGCGTCAGCGATGGCTATGAAATGACGATCGATGATATTTCCCATATAATTTTACATATAAAATGACAACGATCTTCATTTCATAGCCATCGTCGACGCCGTTTTTATTCGATCATACGGCAGATTATAATGGAATTAGAGACAAGTTTTAAAATAGCCAAAATTTGTGTTTTTCGAAATATCTAGTAAGCCATGAACTTCTCCGAAAAATCCGAAAGGCGCATATTTATGACCCCACAAAACTGCAATTCTTTCCCCATTTAACCGACTCTCTATCTCCAGTAGTTTCCGAGATACCCATAGAGAACATCGTAGGAAACTCATCCTGTATAGTATTTAGAAACTAACTATTATTTTTATTTGACTAGATTAATTTGATTAATAAGACTCGATTAATTTAATTTTAAATAAATTTGATCAGATTTTTTTTTCGTATATTCTACTACCAGAAAACCAAAATTATATGATAACGCACTTTTTAACGAAGTTGAAGGAATATATAGCGTATCTATCACAATACTTAATACAATTACTACAATTAGAAGAAAAACAAAAAGAAAAAATACCCAAATACCTTCACCTACTACACATCTACAAAATAAACGAATATAATCTCTTATAAAAAGACTACACAACTACTTCTTGTATTTTACACTGAAAAAATTATAAACTTACTAATTAATCAAACAAAAAGAAAAAATAACCAAATTATCCCTTCACCTACTACTTAACTACAAAATAAATAAACTATAAAAACACTACTAAACTATTTCTGGTATTCTACACTAAACATTATAATTAAACTTAATAAAATTAATCTAATTTTACACTACAACCACTACAACTATAAAGAAATAAGAACATTTTTTAAAACTAGAAGAAACAGAACTTCGATACGAGCGATCAGTACACAGGATCAGTATAAATAGATCAAGCGGACAAAGAATATAAAATACTTTAATAATAAAAAAAATGTGCATTCAGAAAGAAAAAATATCTCGAAAATTATCCAAACATTTTTTTTTCTTATCAGTGAAAAGCATCGGCCTCGTCGGCCTTGCGGAATTTGTCGGGTATTTACAATGGTCGAATTGTATAATTACCAGCTTTTATAGCATATCTAATAGACAAAAAGTATCTGGTCGATTAGTAACCAGTTGGCACGGTCCGAAAATTATCGATTTTTATTTTCTCTGTTTTTATTGGTCGCTTCAAAATTCAGAGTAACAAAAAATATTTTTCTGTAGTAAAAGACTGTGAAATACGCCCCGCCATCTGGTGCTTTACATCCATAAACGTCTTAGGTTGAGCTACTTTAAAAATTCATATACAAGGGTATTTGTATCGTGAGTTTAAAATCTATCAAAACAAATCACGGATTTGTAAACAATCTACTTACCTCTCTGCATGGTTTATGTGGATTAACACATTGCATTACCCTACCCTGGTTAACTAGTATTGCTTGTGAATCACCCACCCAAGCTATGTACAAAACTTTTTCTTTTGGCCGTAATAAGGCAGCCACGGCTGTCGTACCACTGCTTAGGCTCTAAAAAATAACAAATATTTTTATTACTTGTAACATTCAAGTTCTAATGCCTGATTAAAAAAAATCAGTATTAAAAATATATGTTGTGTGTCACTTATTGACACAACTCTAAACAATGAATAGATGAAGGAAACAAGTTTAGATTGGAATGCTCGGCTTGCCGCCAAAACCTATAATTGTTTTGGAGCGCATACGTTGTAGGGCGCTGCTATAGCGCTTGCTAAGAACAACCGCAAACAAGAACAGAAATAATTTTCTCTTGTCGAGGACAGAATCTTCAAAAAATATAAAATCTTTCAAAATTTAAACCGCCCCACGGTGGGGTATTAGCATGAAAAAGGCGATCGAAATTCGAAAAAGCAAATGTGTTTAAGATTTCCCAAAAAAAGGTAAATGATAAGTTAAATCATGTCTGCAATGAATGGCGTTGCTATGGGTGTGTTTAGTTGCATTCATTTGTTACAACGAAACGTCAAAGTTGTTACTTCTCACAGATAAGAGGAAAATGGCTAAATTTTATGTCTAAAATTATAAATTGTTTTTGTTCTTGTGCTCTTTTTACGTTTATATTATTGTTTTGATTGAAAATGGCTCAGCAAGCTGCAGGTATGTATTCTACAAAAAGTATTATTAATTTTGATATTCTCTATACTAACGATTTTTTTTACAACTAAAAGTTGCGTTCAGAAAATTTGATTAAATTTGTGACATTTTTATTATACTTAGAGATTTAGTTGCGCACTTTGAAGAATTCAGCATATAATATTGTCTATATACGTTTTACTTAGTAAACACTGGGCTTTCATACAGTAAAATAAAATACTGCGACTTTTTGCGACTTTGCTGATAAAATGAGAAAAACATTCTTGGTTTCCTCTAATTTGCCAATCAGTGATATACTAATGCGAGGTGTAAACCGCGATGGAATTGTTGTGTACAAAGCGATCGCATTAGTGCCATTAGCAGTATAACACAATTTGGCATTAGTAGCGACTTTAGTGGTATGGGCATTGCTCGCGGATCACTCGTAGCATTAGTAGTACTAGTTGCGATATTACTACTGGTATTAGTGGCATTGTCCGTGGAAACACTGGAACAGTGATTTTTCTTTCTTTTTTTAGAATCGACGAATTATCCTTTATTTTGTTCATATTATTTCCTCTTTAATTGAAATTAGCAAGGTCTACATAAAAAAATTTCGATCAACTATCTGTGTCAAATACCCCACTGTGCGCCCCCATTGAAAAATACCGAAAAGTGTTTAAAGCGTTCATTTTCAAAGTAATCATTGCTATCTTGTGAGTTTAATTTAAATTTTATTTACTCAAACCCGCGATAATTGTGAAAAAGTGGCATTAAAAACTTAAAAAGCTGTGTGAACTGCAAAAACCATGGTGGATCGTGGTATAACGTCGGTTTCCAATGTTTCATGTATTTCATACATATCCTTATATAAAAAAAAGTTTCTTAAATGCAACACATTGTATTTTATTTAAAAAAATAAAAGAAAATAATAATAAATTTGAATAAATATTATTTGGCGACATAATTGCGGAAAAAGCCGAAATTATCAAAAGCTTTGGAGAGCGACCGTTGTAAGATAAGCGCCAAATAGTATTTACATTATCCTCATGGGCACTTTCCAATCTAAACTTGTTTCTTTTATCTATGGTAAAACGTACACATAACGTTTTTTTAATAAGGCTAGGCTTTATATTCAAACAAAAACTAAAGAGTTTCCTATGGACCTACCTCCACTCTGCACTTTTCTAGGAACAAAGCGTCTGTTTTACAAAAGGCATCGATTAAGGCTTGTTCGGGATTACTAATAAAATGCTTGTTTTCGGCCAAATACTGGTGCAGATGCGCAGCACTATACGCGGCTGCGTCGTGACCTGCGTGACCATCAAATACTGCGTAGTAACTGGACGGACTAGCTTCCTGCAAACAGTAAGAAAATATGGTAATTATTGGGAAAACTGGAAATCGTCCGATTTTCACCAAAATTGGTACACACCCTATTTTGAGGTTGTAGATTATAAATCTGAACTTTTTTCTTGGCGGTCTCTTACGGGTTTTTCAGAAAAACGGAATATAATGTCAACATTGAATTTTTCGTTATTTCGGTCCTATAAAGTAATAATTTCACTATATTTTCAATATATTATAGTTTATCTAAAAGCCACACTTGATTGAGGAGAGAAAAATGTCCAAGATTTTACTGAAAAACGCTTTTCTTAACAAAATAACAAAGAAAATTGAGACCAGATGGAAGTTTGACATTTCATAGATCCTTCTTTCTCTCTTCTCTGTAACAAAAGAGAGACAAATGACCTATCTAGAAATTTGAAAATTTACAACGTTGCCATATCTTCTATTTTTACGGGTGATTAGGCATTTTATAAATGATTTTAAATAAATTACCTATTATGAGATCTGACAATAGTTAAATATACCTACCTATATCCACAAAGTTAAGCGAAAGAGTTTTGATTGCCTTGGTTTCAACTTCTATGCGGAGGGTGTTAATCTTATTTTGTTGTTATATTATACCAAAAAAAGATTAACCCCTTCCGCAGAGAAGTTATATAAAGACTATTTATAACCACGAAGTCGCACGAAAGAGTTTTGACTGCATTGATTTCAACTTCTTTGCAGAAAGGGTTAATCTTTTTTGGTAAAGATTAACACCCTCCGCATGGAAGTTGTAACCAATGCATGGTGAATGCAATCAAACCTCTTTCGTGCAATGGTTATAAATAGTCAGATCTCATTGGTAAAATAGCAGTTATGGGAAGGAGCCGTTCTTCTGGCGACCGCCTTTCGTAATCCCAGAATGAGCGAAAAAAACACAATAAATTTAGGTTTAGCATTGGCAACGTTGCTTTAAATGCCAGAAACACATAACCCAACATTTTCAGATTGTTTACAAATTTATTTTAGCAAATTATCCTCTATTATGCATAGAATTGGTTAAAAAAGTAACAGAAAATAGCAAAAACATCATTGTTTATTGAATACCTAGCAAAATATGTGCTGGAAAACCTTAAAAATATATAAAATTAAGAAAAATTCGATATTGAAATAATTTTTCGTTTTTCTGAAAAACGGTAAAAGACCGCCAGAAAAAAAGATTCGTAATCTATGACCTCAAGATAGGGTGTATACCAATTTTGGTGAAAATCGGACGATTTCCAGTTTTCCCAATAATTACCGAAAATATATAATAAAAACTAAACACAATAATCCAACATAGTTAAGCTTAATGCTTGTTTTAGTTTCATTATAGTCTTGTTGCTGTTAGTTAGTTAGTTTTTAAACAGCCCACTCTGATTCTTTCTTGAGGATGTAAATTTCCAGCACATTAAGGACAGTCCCTGTCGTCTAACTCTAAGCTAGAAGGCTTAAAGCAGACAAGGTATTGGGATTACCGCTAAACGCAACAGCTACAAGGTAACCAACAAATTTAACATAACTATAGCAGGAAGGGAAGACTGGATAAAAGGTGTACCCGTTCAAGTTGAGGCAATCTGGTATACAGACGGCTCAAGAACGTCAGAAGACCTAGAAGCTGGAATAGTAGGGCCGAAAAATGGAATATGCACGTAAGCCTATCTAAGGATGTCACAATTCTGCAGGCAGAAATAATGGCAATCCACTAGTGTGTAGAAGAAATAAGAAGACAGCAAAGAACAAATCTTCGGTAGCCATCTTCACAGACATTGCAAGCAGCGCTAAAGGCACTCGGTTCCTCGGAGGTCGATTCTAGACTAGTGTGGAATTGTGTGTGTGCTCTAAATATATTCGGTGAGCGTAGCGATGTTAGCCTGAGTACCGGGGCACGGGAGTCACAAAGGTAACAAAAAGGAAGATAAAATGACCAAACAAGGCTCATTAATGCCATTCATAGGCCCAGAACGCTTCTGCGGCGTTGTAAAAGCAGTCACGAGAATGGTAAGAAAACGATGGGTGGCCAACAAATCTCTAGAATGGTGGAGACATTCACCAAGGCAAAGACAGGCGAAAAACTTCATTCATTTCAGACCTGAAAAGCAGACAGAAAGACAGTCAAATATGTAGTGGATCTACTAACAGAGCATTGTATTTGTAGTGAATCTACTATCAGAGCATTGTAAGCTGAATAATGATCTAAAGCTATATTATGCAAGTTCTGTCAATCTAAAGAAATGACAGGACACATTTTATGTCGGTGCGACAACCTGGCAAATGTCCTGTGCTCGGTAATAAGCAATGATATATAGGTCATTGCCAGATAGCTACATGGAGGTCTGTGGGAATGACCTATCTCCACGGTACTCCAATGTCTCCTCTACTAGATGATGATAAGACAATGGCAAAGTGGTATACGAAGGGTTGAGTCTCACTCGCGTATATATCCCATACCTATTCAGTACCACTGCGCAAGTATATAGCCTTCAGTCGGCTTTTATATTAAAAAACAAAAGATTCACCACCAAAAAAAGGGAAAAAAGGCAACCAAAACTCCTTCGTGCAACTTTGTGTCGATAGACAGTCAATTTTTATTCGCAAGAGCCTCGGCTACTATCAAATTTTCGCCACTGAACGTCAAACTGTCGTGCAAAATATATACGAATAGATGTGGGATATAGAAGCGAATGTTGAGTCTTTAAGTTATGAGGCTTTATACCACTGAAGAATGTAATCTAGAGTTCAGCAGACCATAATATAGATCTGAAGGTCGCAGTGGACTAGACCTAAAATCTAATCCAATCTAACACCACAGATTTTACAGATTATAAACTTTGTTTTTTCTTTATTGTTCTTCGTGGTTCCAGTTTTCGGAATCGGGCACTAGTTAGGTTACTAGTTTGCGCACATAGCACGCCCACTTATGGCCTGTCAAATTGTGCACAGCGCCTGACCGGCACGGTTATTAGAGAGATATCGGAAAACAGAATAGCGTCATGCAGTATTTACGCGTACCTTATCATGGTTACGATATGCGCGAGTCAATTTTTAACGCAACACCCGCTAATAACGTTACCGCCTGACGTAATTTGCGGATGTAATTCGGCGTGTGCAGGTATTTGACAACCGGGGCCGGCCGGCGAGATCTTTTATTTTAGGTTATGTTTGAATTGTTTTGAATTATTACTTTAGTTTTATTAGGTAATTTGATATTTAAGTAGCTGGGATTAGTTTTGATTAAATAAATATGGCCCAAAATATGGATTCCACCTCTTCCAATATTAAAGAACCTATAAAGAGGCTTAGGTTTACAGCAGATGACGACTTAGCCCTTCTAAGAGAATTTGTTGCTTGTTGCCCTAAACCCACTAGCAGACGTTGAACAATAAAGCACTGGAAATAAGCACTTTAGCCCTTTAGTTTTAAAATACCTAGTAAACAAAACAATTTCAAAGTTTTAAATTCAAAGTTAGGTTAAGTTTAAATAGCGGACGCGACGCGAACAGAATTCTTTCCGATCCGATAACTATAAATGAAGAGAGTTAATAGCACCTCACGTAAAGGAAATAACACCTGGACTTATTAACGTCCTTGCAGGCTATTCGGTTTAGCGATATCTCTCTATTACGCTGTTTATTATTATTTTACGCGAGTTTATTTTTGCGCACAGGAAATTTTACTCGTTTGCACATCGTCTTAAAAAACAATTTTCGTACAACGAATTAGGGACAAGATTTTTATCTGTATACTTATAGGAGACCTAATCTGTGCTAACACCAAAGGTTCCAACCTAAATCATTCAATCTGTATACTGTGTATCTCTTATTACCTGAATATTGAACATAGTGTTTAAATCGTGTATTGCTACGTGTCTGTCTTCCATAGTTCTTCTCTTGTTCCTCGCTGCACATATACTGGTTTCGAAGTAAGTGTTTGTAGGCCCGGGTAAGGAACACAACATGCTGTTGTCCGTGTATCGGAGACAGACTTCGTTAGTTTTCGCCATGACGGCTTGCATGAGTTTGAGGGGTTCGTAAGCTGTAACAAATAAGAATTGAGTAAATATGACTTGACTTGTTCAAGTTTAGAGGCATATTTAACAGAGCTAATGTTTTTTAACAGGTTAAATGTGTTAGACAAAGATCAAACTTCACTGTCAATAATTTCAAGTGTCAAGTGTGATTTGCGAAGATATCAGAAGATTCGATGTCTGAACAGAATCAGACCCCCCGTCTGATCATGGATCATTAATACACAGCATCCCTATGGATCAGACTAGCTCCATTGTAACAAAAAAAAAGGGTTATACTTACTGGGTAATATAATATTGTTTATACCGGTTGCGCCTCAAAAGTGGCTCACCCCTATAACTTTTGTATAATTTCAGATAAAAAAAAATAGACTTGGTATGTTAGTATATGAGATAAATCAAAATTGATTGGCGTGTTCCTGGCGTGTCCCCTATAACTTCTTTATTTTTTCAGATAGAACTTTTATAAAAAATTTTCAAAAAAAAAGATTTGGTATGTTAGTATATGACATAAATTGGGATTGATTGACGTATTCAATTGTTTTCCGTCACTTCCTGTTTCACCGGAAATGACTACAACTGTTGATTTTTAAATGACACCCATGGTATTTTTTTACTTTATTTGATAGGAAATTACATTCTGAATAGAATGACATAGCATATGGCGACTTTTGACATTTTCGATTAAAAAGAATAGCATTTTAATTTTAATCCAGAGTAACGACAATATGAGTGAAAATACCAAGTGTGTGATACTAAATTATTCGTAAAAAAAATATTTTCTCAAATATGCTGAGCCACCCTCGTTCCATTTGAAAAAATTGAGATATGATTAAAAATACGATTCGGGCATCTTTTAACCGGCAAGGACAAAAGACGAAAAGCATTAGACGATAAAATCTATTTTTCCAAGGCTCCTTGATTAAAAATTAGTGTTCGTAACACAGCCTCTAGCACTCTAGATTGAAATTTAAAATACGATTTTTTTAAGCGAAAATGTCAAAAGCTGACATATGATATGTCATTCTATGCAGTGTTTTTCTATTGAAAAAAGTAATAAAATACGGAGGGTGCCATTTAAAAATTAAAAGTTGCAGTCATTTTCGGTGAAACAGGAAGTGACCGAAATTAACTGAATAAGGCCAATCAATCTTAATTTATGTTATATACTAACATACCAAATCTCGTTTTTTTTTATCTGAAAAAATAAAAAAGTTATAGGAGTGAGCCACTTTTGAGACGCACCCGGTATATACAGAGTACCAAAGATACTCTAAAAATGTACAAGATATGTATCAAGTGAGGGCTCTAAAAGCTTTCAACGGCTGTAACTTGCATAGGAACTTTTTCTTTTATTTTTATCTCTAGTACCCACTGAAATTTGGTACACTATTTTTCTAAACCCTGTATATAAACTTTTAAAATGTCGTATGTAGTTGCTAATTTTTTAAAATTTAAAATTATCTTATAGATTGTGATGAAGTAAATCTATGAATAAATGCACCAAAAATATCTGCATAGGATTTTTAATTATTATGTGAAAAAAAACCAAGTTAAAAAAATTACAAAAGTGATAAAAAAAGGTATCTTACTTTTAATATATTGATATTTAGAAATAAACAACACTTTTAAAAGAATCAATGGCGATAAAAAATGAATGCAAAATTCATAATTATGTATGCAGTCAAAAACCAGTTAACCTATGTTTTGAAAAATACTCAAAAAAATAACAATACTGTACTTATTAGTTACTTAGCACTATTTAATGAAAATATTAACTAAATTCAAAGCAAAACCACACAGAGGACTTTATGCGCTTGTTATGATGCCTACTATTGCAAAATAGTACATGATAAGATATCAATAATTGCGAAAAAAGTAAATTAATACACTCTTAAAATATCTTGTTTATTATGAATTAATAAAAATAACGAGAATAGTAGGTAGTAGGTAAATTACCAATTTTAACTCATTTTATGCATTGCTTATTACTCGTTATAAGCTGAGGACGAGCCTACAGATACCAATAATAAATTTAACTAAAATTTCAAACTTATAAACAGTAATGACACAGCCTATTTATTAGACAGCCAGTCGAGTTACGATCATTTACATGCAATTTTGCGTACCTACCTATATATTCACTTATCTTATGTAACAAGTGAGATTCTGATTGAAACTAAAAGCGTTATGATATGATGGAAGGATAGCAAACTCGACTGGCTGTCTAATGAATCGGCTGTGGTAATGATTCATATTTTTTAAGCAAAGACTTTTATAAGAAAATACTTACCGTTGTCTGAAGTACTAAATCCATAGTTTAAGGGGTGTTTTTTACAGGCTTTTCTTATTTCTTCGATGATAATTTTAATGAGAGGTGAATATAAATGAGGTGGGCATTGCCTAGAAAGAAGAATTAACGTTTTTAGTATATTATAGGAAAATATTAATAAATAAAAAATGAAGTGTAAAATTTTATGTATTGTGAACATTAGGAACATTAGTAAAGATACAAATATGATAGAAAAAAACAAAGGGCGTCAGCGGTGGTTATGAAATAAAAATCGCTGTCATTTTTTATATGTAAACTTATATGGGAAATGTCATCGATCGTCATTTCCAAGCCAACTGAACGCCGTTTTTTTCGATCATACGGTATTATTATAGGTAAAATTAAAATTAATATCGTTACATCGTTAAATAAGCTAATAAATAGTAAAATATATACTCAACCATTTACTGTAGACTAAGTATATACCAAAGCATATCTCATAATCTATTTTTTAAGTCCTACACATTATTAAAGTAGATTCACGATCCTATACATAGGATGTCCCAGAAATAAGTGTAAGTATTTTAACTGATAATAGAGTTCAACCCCAGAAACACGCGTTTTTTCACTTTCAACCCCAGAAACACACGTTTTTTTTAGATTTTTTTTAAATTTTTAGTTAAAAAACATAATTTCTTGATAATACGGCAACATAGGTATTAGATTAAATTACAAGGAAGAAAATCCAGAAAAGATCCAGTGGTTCTCAACATTTTATGGAAATTTACATTTTTTTTTTTTGGAAATTTACAAAGTAAAATAACTCCGTTATTTTGGACTTATTTGAAAAACGATAAAGAGAAAATATGTTTCTTTTATCGAGATCTACCGCCCCTTAAAATACTTGCACTTATTTCTGGGACACCCTGTATAAACCGAAATAAAAGTGTGAAATCATAAAATATCTTTATTTCCGCCAAAAGCATTTAGGAATTACTTAAACACAAGTATGATGATATAAAGACTTGATATAAAATAAAATATCTATAGAAAAATAAACAGAAAAAATATCAGCTACAAGAAAACCAGAATAAAAGGTCAAATTATTGTCTGGCCAAGAAAGACAGCGATGCTGTTAAGAATTAACAGTCAACTATCGAGTGGTAGATGAATAGTTGGTCTAATAACTATTTCTTGACTATATTGCAGACTAAAGACTACCAAATGATGCTTCTGAAACTTAGGAGACGAGCGCTTACCTTTAAATGAGTTTTTACAAAACACTAGAAGCGTTGATTGAAAGAATTAGCTCAAAACCTGTCCGAGATGAAGCTGGCGTTACCGTCAGCCTGTCCGAGAATTCCGAGATTTAGTTTAGCTCTGCGCCGCTGCGCGCTGATAGTCGTTTATAGCGGATAAAGAATACTGTACCGTAGTTCTGCTTTCAGTCGACAGAGTGAGTAGTTGCCGGAGACAGTGTTGCCAGAACTACTGATTAATCCGTAGATTTACGGATTTTGGGTAAAGTACGTTAATAATACGGATTTTCTATCATTAAATATTTTAATATATTATATGATTAAACAAAGAACGGCGTCCGAGCTGGCTTGGAAATGAAGATCGCTGTCATTTCATATGTAAAATATTATGGTAAATGTCAATAATCGTCATTTCCAAGCCAACTAAACGACTTTTTTCGATCAACAGACATATTCAGTACCTATAAAAGAATTTTTATTTTTGTTGTTTATTCTATGTTTAACACGGATAAATTTTCAATACATAAACGCGGATTTTTCATCCAAAGATATTTTCGTCAAACGTATTACAGATATTACACATTTTAATATGGCAACACTGTCGCTTTCAGATCCACACCGTCTTCGGTATGCCTTCGCTGGCCTAATTAGAGAAAATAAGTGTTTTATGCGTTGGTTGCAGAACGATTGGTGGCTCAACCGTACATCACTTGAGACGCAAGGGGAAATCAAATCAGCCTTGTCACGAATTCGCCCATTAGGTTGCCTAACTTCACAATTCTTTCAATCAACGACTCTACGCAGTGGTATTTCACAAAAATAACTATTTTTTAGATTTTTGGCTTTTAAAGTTTAGATGTGTTATTTTTTTAGCATCTATTGTTATCTCTGAAACTTTACCAATTCACCCAGAAAAAAAGATAACAAATTATTTTTTTTATCTTAGAAATAAAACTACCAATTAATTTTCATAATTTATTTATTAAAATAAAACAAAAACACGTCATTTGCGTTCAAGAGTTCACAAGAAAAACATGCACAAAATTTCTTTAACAATGAGATATAATCATATCCACAAAATAAATATTAAAAACACTGTAGTATAGAGACTACCTCGTTTAATTTAAATGGCACAAAATATGAATATATAACAGAACAAAATAACAAACAAAAACATTTTTACATACACCAATTAAAGAATACAAAATTTAACACATTTTTGAATACATAAAAAAAATAACAAAAAGAAATTGAACAAACAATTTTTAAATATCAGATTAAAGATTTGGCACGACTATTCGAAAATATAGGTACCTATAATAACAAAATGTAAAGACTGTCCTACGAGTACAAGAGGATACATGACAGCGATACAGTTGTCTGTCATTTTCATTCACTGTCATTAGTCTGTCGAAATTTTCGCAGACTCCTTGGACAATCTTTACCTATAAAATAATTCAACAAAAATGCCAAAATTTAAGAAAATATATTATTTGTGATTGTGTGTTATTGATATTTTTAATATAGTCCAGACATTATGTAAGTATATGCATATTAAAAAAAAATAACTATGTAATATGTAAAATCTATACTTATGCCCAAATTAAATATTAATTTTTGATATTTTCTATATCAATTTTTAATAAATAATAATGATTATTAATGATAATACGTGGGTTGATCGGACATATAACAACTTTTCAACAGCCACTCTGACGCCTTTTTTTCTATAGTGTTTATATAATTTGACTGGACTAATAACTCTGACAAACCAAATAAACTAACAATAACCACAACCACAGATATTTTTAATAATATCTACTCTTTTGTATTATCACAAATAAAATTTTTGTTGTTTCTGAAATAATGCTATAAATCTAAACGCAATTAAATAATATTTCTTTAGATTTCTAGTCTCCTTTGTAACATTTCACAACAAATCACAATACGAAACAACACTTTTACGTCAAATTTTTTCCTTTTTTTTTCTAGAAAACGCGTGCAAGATAGACTTTTTTACAAGTTTTTTTCACAGGATTGAAGCTGAAGAAACAACATTCAATTGGAAACTATTTAAAATTATTTTTTTATTTGTTAGAACTACTACCCTGCTTTAATATTTCGCACATTTTAACATTAGAAACTAAATCAATTAGTATCTCCTTATTTTGTCAAGATAATGTATTTATTTCTTTAATTAATGTACTATAAAAATATAATCCCATCCCTTCCATCAAATACCATGCGATTTTAAAGAAATAGACAGTGTGATTTTTCAAAAAAACAAAATAAAGCTACATAAAAAAGAATACAGAGACTGTAACACTTTACACGAATTTTGAAAAATGACAAGAAGAAATGGTAACATGAATACAGGATTTAATTTAAGATCGCACGGTATTTATTTAATTATACTATAATGGTCAATAACAAAAGGTTGTTAAATCTCCATTTTGATTTTAAAATTTTAAATATACCTAACATGTTTTTTTTTTCTGTTTTGTTAGTATACCTTGTTAAAAATCTAATTTAACGCTAGATTTAAAGTTACTTATAATTCAGTACCTCAATTAAAAATAAAAAATATACAGAAAGCATCGATTTATTACAGATTTTGTTTCTCTCTAATATATTCTAATTAAATTTGCAAATTTATTTAAATAAAATTAGGAAAAGTTTCTAGTACGAAATTATTTTTTGTACTAAATTGAAAATAACAACAATAAAAAATATACACAGCCCTGATCAAGTTAAATTCGTTTTTTAAATTAGATTCAAGATAACTGACATTATTTTCTAAACTTAAAAAAATAATTCTAATGGTAATATTTCAAGTTTTCAAAATCACAATCACATTTAAATTTCGATATCAACCAAATTCAGATCTTCTTTCAGGACGCTAAAACAATTAACAGCTTAAAATATCAAAAAATAATTATACTGTAAATCAAAACAAATTAACATTTAAACAAATCATATTTAAAATATTTAATATTTACCATTGAAGAATAATTATTCCAACTTATCTCAATATCGAATTTTACCATAGATAGAAACATACCGTACAGGTTTCTCCTTTTTGAAAGAAATATTCAGAGAAAGAATAACTTTAATTACTAAAATTATAGCTAAAATAAAAATTAAGAAATGTTGACACTGAACTAAAAAAAATAGCAACACGTTTAACATAATGAGAAATTGAGAGCAACACAGAGTGACATTGTGTTAGTTTGCCTGTTGTCATATTTATTTATTTCAAATGGCATACGTCATTTTGTCATGGCAGTCACAACATGGTCACAACGGAAAAGGTTTTGATGCAAGATTATGAGATCAAAAAGTTTTAAAAATCTATTAGAGAACAAAAATTCTTATGGAAAATTACTTATAATATTTTTAACTATCAAAAACTAAGCCCACTTGATCACAAAAATTTTAATTATTACAACCTCGTAGTTTTTTAAGCATACGAAAAAAAAGGGCGTCAAAGACGGCTGGTTAATGACAATCTATGATAATTTCGGCGAGGTCAAGCCCTAGACGTCATTACTTGACCCGTACTGTTCGACCATAAGAAGGTTGTAATTTATTTTTATACTGAGTAAAAATGGGTTTTAAATGATTGGTAGTATAAAAATCGAGAAAAAAAATCTATTTTTTTATTCAAAATAGATTTGTGCATCTGGAAACCTTCTATCCTTTTCTAATCTTCCTACAATTAGTGTTAATTTAGATAAGTTTTATCTCAATTTTTAGTAAATGAGGTCTTATGTCTTATCATGGATTGTCAATCCCCAGCTATCTTTGACGCCGTCTTTTTTCTATCAGACGTCTTCTGAACCGTCGTAGAACTGTGATGCGTATGCGCAGAA